GGATAGGCTGAGAGAGCTGGGCTTGTTCAGCCTTGAGAAAAGGAGGCTTAGAGGTGATCTCATCACCATGTACCAGTACTTAAAGGGGAGCTACAAAGAAGATGGAGACTCCCTTTTTACAAGGAGTCACATGGTGAGGACAAGGGGTAACGGGTACAAGTTACTCCCAGGGAGATTCCGATTGGACACAAGAGGAAAATTTTTCACAATGAGAACAGTCAATCATTGGAATAATCTCCCCAGGGAAGTGGTTGACTCTGCTACGCTGAACACGTTTAAGACTCAGCTGGACATGGTGCTGATGGGCTTGTCTAGATTGTGCTAGAAAGGTTGGACCAGATGATCCTTGAGGTCCCTTCCAACCTGGTATTCTATGATTCTATGAATTCGCATTCAGTCTAAATTAAAACTGCTTTAAATGTTTTGTTAATGTCCCCCAGTTATATTGTACAGCCTCTATAAGGCTTTCTTCTTATAGGTTAGTTAAAGCCTACACAACATGATCTTCTAACCTTGATCCATCAGCCAATTCCTTCCTTATGCATGGATGGAGGAGCGTGCACAGAGACCAACTGAGATCAGTGAAATTTCTTACAGACAAAAGGGATCTAACCAGGCTTAAGTCAGCACATCTTAAGTCAGGACATCTTTTTCTTCTCAGATATGTACCTTTCAACTATTTTAATCTCAGTGAACGTGCAGTTGTTTGCTCTGACATCTCTCCTTCCTTCCTTCTTCTGGTGGGTTTTCTGTTTTGATGAATGTGGGAAAGCCATCTGTCATACTGTCCTAAAACTGACCTATGATAAACAGGACAAAGCTTTACGTTTCTCTGTGAGACTTTGCCCGTACTTACTGGGTGTGGGATTACTATGCATCAGTGTCTCAAAGGCCCTCATCTGTGTTGCTGCTGCTTAGCAGGTTATTGTCTGTCTGCTGAGTGATGGTAGTCAACTGTATACATATACCTAGCCACTGCTGCGCAAAATGAACGTGCTGCCTTAGATCTCCCTACAGTATGAGCCTTGCTAGAAAACAGACCATCAGGGTGGTTTAGACTAATGCAGGCTTAGCATAAAGGCAGGCCTAGAGAGCTGACACAGTCAGGTACCACAGCTCTGCTCAGAAGTGGCACCTTACTAGGCCAGAGCAATGTTGTCTGTTTGCACTATGCATCCATTTTCTCAGATAAGCAGCTATTTTAGCATGCTTTGCTTTTTTTCTCCAGTATCTCAACACTTTTCCCATCACATTTGCATTACAATGCAAGCAAAATAAAATGTAAACTCCTTATAAGCAGATAGGAACCAACCGCTGAGATACTTGCTTGAATTCTGATGTTGCAAATTCCTACCAAAAGCAAATGCTATTCATCCAAATAAGGGCTGAGTCAGGACAGACTTGGGAGGTCTTCGAGCTAGCCCAATAATACAATTCCTACTGAGTTCCTCTGTACCAATCTGTTAGAAAATAGCAACAGTGTGAGCACAACATAGAAAAAACCTCCATCTTTAACATTTCCTCTTCATTTTCAAGCAGTAGGGTATATACCCAGAATGTCTGGCAGTAGGCACTTGATCATATGGTTGTAACAGCAACACAGAGAAACATCACATGCGAGAAAACCTATCTAAATACATCTGATTTTCATCTTCATAATTGCAGTGGTCTAGCAGGTATTTCAGACAATCAGAGAAAAACGAACCTCCAGAGCTACTTGTCAAATAGACAAAGATAGCCTGAACTCCTAGAGAACATAGGGAGTTTTACCTGAGCAAAATCTGGAAGAGTTTAAACCAGTGAGATAGGCAGCAGCTCCCAGAAGGAAGATACACTTCTGGCATGATGTTGGGATGCTGCACCATCTCCATCTCCAGCCCAAATGCAGCAAAGTATCTGCCATATCTTTTCAGAACAGCATCTTTAATTTAGTTCAATCTGCAGAGACTCTCGCTCAGCCCTGGGATATAACTACTAAAAATCATATTGTAATATTTAATATTTATGTTAAAGAATCAGAAGACTCCGATCTAGGCCTCAAAACCTAAAATATTAAAACAACACCAGTGTAGGTGTCATTATTTACTATTTAAGTATCTGTCAAGTGCTGGCAATGTTCTCAAAACATGAATCAGGACAGAGCTATTTTATTTCCTGTGGAAATGCCTGAACCTAATTTAATCTATTTCAGCTTTTGACCTGTCACAACCCATATGGGATGAAGCACTGAGTGAACCATAGAGTAACAGCAACTTCTACTGTGCCCTAATTATTGATTAAAGCAGAAAGTAAGCATTTGCACAGTCCAGACTCAAGTGAAATGCCTTTCCTATTCAGAAGAACAGCAAGTTCAGTGCATGCTTTTCTGCAGTGTTGATGCTACGTATATTACCCAACTGTGACCTGAAAGTGAAAACAGCTATAAACACATATGAGTCATCTTCTTAGACGATTTTTATCCAAGTTCAGACAGGTAATCTGGATTGTTAAGCTGTTTTTACCTTACTATCCTGTGGTTAAAGCAGAATTGAGGTAAGGACATGTACACGTTTCTGTTTTAAAGTTGGCATTGTTCCTCTAACACATGAATAAAATTTAAAGAAATCTCATTCCCATAAAAAGGGGGGAAAAAATAGATAAAAAACCACAGGCTGTTTACTCTTGTCATTAGTATTCTGAAAAGGCATTTTCCTGACATAAAACTCATTTTCACCCCTGTTTTGGTTTTGCAGCATGGTATCAATAATGTTTAAGCCTGTTGGACACCACCTCATGAAACATGCTACAAATCAGCCTCATCGGGTGAGCATCCCACTGCTGTCCAGGGTCCCTGCAGCCAGGGTCCCTGACACCATGGGCTTGAAAGCAGAAAGGAAACCCTTTTGCATCAGGTTAAAGATCAAACCAGAACATTTTGTTTTGTCATTTTAAAAAGAGCTTACTAGGATGATTTAGTCTGAAAGAATAAATCAATTGAGGTTTCAACTTTGGAAGCCAATTTGGAACAAAAGGTAATGTAAAAACATCAAGCTGTCCCAAGGGCCTCACAAAGCCCATTTGCATCTTGTCTGTATACTCCGTAGAAGGGAGTCTAATGTGAGCACTTGCCAGCTATTAGCACGTGCTAATGAGACTCCTGCTATTGCCAGTTCAGGATGAGGACTGCAGGATTTCTTACAGAGCGGTGGGAGAGGGGGTACTGGAAATCAAGGAGTCATCATGGAAAGGCATTTCTCCTCTGGTTCCCACTAATTAAAGCCTTTTTTATGGCTCTTTTTAAAAGGCTTCTTTTTAAAACCACCATTTGTGGTGGTCCAAACGGCCAGCATGGAGGCAGGATGGGTCACACAGAGGGTTACTGTGGCCGATTTCCTGCACTGTAACCGTGCCTCCTTTCAGGTCAGTCCGTACTCAGACCAGGATCCCACTGATGCTGGAACACTGTCTGAATATGGACCCGGAAAAATTATCTGCCTTGAATAAAATGAGCTAATGATGTCTATAAGCAAGGCATTTCTGGAGACCTAGAGCCTGTAGGAACTGGAAACTAGAAACTGAGAAGCACTAAGTGCAAGGGCTCTAGGGTATTTACACCCACTGAATACGAGATTAAAGGATCCATCACCGTAGTTAGACACAACCCCATATGCAAGGCTGTCCCACCCCCTAGGAGAGACATGAACAACTCTGTGTCTGGGAGGGATATAGTCTGAGATGCCCAGTCACCAGATTTAGCCCATATCCTGCGTGGCACGTGGCACTGAGGCCTGGGAAGCCCTGAGACAGTGACAGCCACCAGCATGACCTCTGGGGCCCCAGGCATGCATGTGTGCCCTGTCCAGCCCTCTGGGCATGCTCCAGGATCTGACTCTGAGCCAGCCTCCAACCATCTCACCTGAACAGCAACTGATGCTTGGTTTAACTTCTGGAAACAGAAATGCAACCTCACTTCAGGGGAAATTTCATTACAGCCCTCTCTGTGATTTCCTCAGTTGGTACAGAGAGACTCACACAACCCCTCACAAGAGTCATGTGAAAATGTACATCTCTTGCACTGCACAACACAGTCCATCTTGAGACAGTAATGTTAGCAGATAGATACAGCTTATCACACAGACTGTTCTCACACAGCACACCACATAACCTTGTGCCTTATTTGCATTTTGCATGAAAAGAGCAAGCAACATTAAGTTCAATCAGAAATGAAAGCAGAACCCATTCTAACAAATGGGGAGATAACAAGAGCCCTGATTCTCCTCTTGGACACAATCGCAGCTCCTCTTATGGCCAAGCAGAGCTGGGAGTGCACAAGACAGGAAGAGGTCTCTTGGAGAACAGAAGAACCTGCTTTAAGGACACGACACAGGGCTACAATAATCAGGGAGAGAGAGAAGTAGAAAGAGACATACTGGAGAAGCTGACCATTGCGAAATGCTGACACCGGTCTCCTGTGAATTCAATCGGACACCTAACGGAAGAAAGAAAACCAGAAAGAGAGAAACAAGATAGCAAAATGACACCCAAACAGACCGAACTGAGGCCCCTTCTGATCCCTTCCACAACTCCTATCCGTCTGCTTTCAGCCTTCACCCTTACCTGCATCCCTAAGCCCTAGCCCAAAGCTGACACCAAGAGCCATCCCTGACTAGACCACTCTACATCCACCGCTGTGCCCGGGAGGTTTTAAGTAGTGTGGTGCATTTTTTGTCTTCAAACATACTTTGCTTAGGATCTGGCATGTACAATCGCAAAGGCAGTTTCTCCAAACATCTCTGTCCGAAGAATCCGTTTGGACATCTGGAGGGGAAAAGGGGAGAAATCACAGAACATGTCTGGCACCATTCTTGAGGCTAAGGTCAGAAATAAAAAGTGCATTGTGATGAATGGAAAAAATAAAGGCTTTACGCGCGTATTTACTCTTTGCTTTGCTTTAACCAGGCACCTGCAACATCAGCATTCCAGCTCTATTTTTGGCCTGGGTCTTCAAGCAGCCAGCCAAAACCCTCCTTTCCTCCTCTGCCTGCCTCCTTCCTTCTCACCTGCTAGAAGCACCAGCTGGCAGGAAGATCGAGATGAGCTGGATGCTACTTTCAGAGACTCTCCTTGGAGCTGCTATCTTAGACAAGACTGGCAAGAGGCACCACAGAACAGTGAGCAGCTGCTCAGGCGACAGCGAGCATTGTGTACGGCAAGTGTCTTCCCATTATTACCCCAGAAGTACCCACAGGATGTTCCAGGGAAAAGGGTTACCTTGCGGTTAGAGAGAAAGCATGTGCAGAATCTCTGTGTTAACAGAGAGAAAGGGACAGAGAAGAAAGCTGAACTGAACAGGTCTCACATGCTGCCCAACTGTGAGGCTCTCTCAAGCTATCCCGACCAACATTACGTGATGGGCTGGGATGTGCCAGCTCATGGGGCAGCAGGTATACATTAGCATGATGCTGCAGTGGCAGGGATGGCGCCCTGCAGACAAGGGCCGCCACGCACGTGCACCAGCTCATGAGTAAGCTCCCCGGAGCAGCCCCCAGGCTGAGCCAGGTTTGGGGAGCACGAGGACGTGGGCAGGGGTGCAGACGG